TAATCAACGGCCAACTCTGGTTTATACAATAAACTATGAACTATAATAAACTAGAACAATACCTCTGAGGAGGAATAAGAACGCTCTTGTTTAGAAAACTTAACAAAATAAAGCAGTATGAATAAACTGTTTTCGTACATGCAAGAAGGTATAAATCGCAAACTGGGCATGAGTTTCAGAAAATAGGGGATTATATTATATATAGGGATATAGACTATTATGGGATATTCAAATAATTATAAATATTTTTAAGAGACAAAGTGAATGTTTTTTAAGATCCATGTTTTTCAAGATCTAGCTGCAAAATAATGCTTTAAAGATCATTCCATATGTTTTAATAAATAACTTTGTAACAATATTAAAAGGAAGAAAGGTCTTTATATCAACTATAAGTTATTATTAAATTTAACCCCAAAATTGTCAATTTCTACATTTATTAAAAAATATTTTCAAAAGAGAAATCAGCAAAATTATAATAATTAATATAAAATATTAAATATGAAATGAAAGCTAACAAAACTTTGCTCCTAAATTACCTTCAGATTTTAAGCTGTTAGCTGATTGCCATCCGAACAACTGAGATGTATCAAACACAGTATTATCCTAAATAAAGAAAACAATTATTTTCTGAGTGGAAAAAATACAAAACAAATTAACAAAAAGTTAATTTGCAATGCTTTTTTTTTACAAACCTTCAATAATTCATAAACAGTCACATCAGGCTGAGATCTTTCTTCATCTGTTTTGAATAAATAATTGTATAGAAGAGGGTAATTTTGAAAGCTTGTTCTCACAGATGCGATTGTCTCTTCAGAACTTTGCATAATTTCATCAATAGATTCCTTCAGAGATTGAGGCTTAAAAAGCAAAATTGAGACAGCCAATGGCAATGGAACTTTCACCAATAGTTCAGAAGGAGATGATTGGGATAAGTTAAACAAATAAGAAGCTGTCTCAGAAACAGCCTCGTAAGCCAAATGAACATCTATATAAGAAAAATTATATATATATTAAACAACAAAATATGTATACAACAGTTGAAATAAGTATATCTTAATTCTTTAAATAATCAAAAAAATCAAATAACTGAAAAATAACATCAATTGCAAAATTAAGAAAAGTTAGTTTTAATATTATTTTTGTAAATCGTGAACTTATTTGCACAAAGCAATCTATACTCCAAAATTCACTAAATAGGGAATGATTGAAAATTGTTTAAAATAAAACTAAACTTAAGTTACAGCGGCATGTAATTAGAATAGTATTCTTCCCTGTCGTCAATACATTTTTGATAAAAATTTTAATACCGCATGAACAGATTAATTTCATTTTTTAAATTAGTTAAGATGCATAATACAGAAATAAAATGCTTTAAAATATATAATACAGAAAATTTGTGATCACTCAAATCTGATAAGACCAACAAAAACCTTTGAGTTATCATCAGAAGTTATTTACAGTTAGTTTCGAATTCTGATCATAAAATTATAGCAATAAACTTTTTGAAATGAGTTGTTGAACGGAACACTTCAACGAATTTTCCGTTTCTCTACAAATCTCACTACCATTTCATATCAACCCAGGATACTACTCTACAAACTATCACATGACCACGTACCAGTAACAAGTTTTTCCTTTTTATACACTATTTTTATATGCAAATATAAAATATTTTGTAAAGTGGCCATCAATATATTTAATTTATTTGCCTTCTAATCACTTTCATTGCCAAAAATAAATACATTATGGGAAAAGAAGTTATTCTCAATTAGTTATAAATCATAAAAGCTAAAAAAAACTACCTGAAGCTAATATCAACAGGATGAAAACTAAAGAATTAAATTTCTCTTACCATCGTAAGAATTATCAAATTTTACATATTCCTTCTCTACATAATAATCGGGCATTAAAACAACCTAAATGTATTTGATTTTAAATCTAAGCTAAATAACTTGAAAATCTTAATAAATACTGTAAGAAAAAAAACTAACTCATCTCATACACGTAAAAATCTCATTTTGATCAAGTTAAAATTTGTTTTTATGAAAGAACTAGAACTGAAAAAGAAGTGACGTTTTAATAATATAATTTGAATTACAAAAAATATTGTAAACCTCTTACAAAATTAATATAATATTATAGATTCAAATATTTTTGAAATAAAAAAAATCATCATCATACTTGGTATGACAGCCAAAAGCTGGCTAAGGCCTTCTGTCGGAGATGGTATAAGACAAGATTATTATTTTTTTAACAAGATAGTTAGGCTTAGTCTGCCAGTTTCTCACCCCAATCACTCTAAAATTTCATTCAACAGTAATAAAACTTGAAATTTACAGAAAAATATAATTTTATATGTATACTTTAAAATTTAATATATAAAAATGTAATCATACTCAAAAATTTGCAATCATATGAACAAAACTGTTTTTTTTTTTTCAATTTTAAAACTTAATGAAAAAGAAAAAATTCACCAACATTTAAAATAAAATTGTTATTACTAATTAAGGTTTTTACTAGTACGCTTATAAAATGACATTGAAAATACACTAACAAAAAGAAAACAAATGAATTTAAAGTTTGATTGGGAATAATTCACATGTATGAAAAATAATTAACAAATTACCATTATGATTTTGTGACCATTTATAAAAAGCCACAGTTAAATGAAAAACGGGAACAAGGCAGAGTGGACAAGAAGGCCAAGTAGTAAATCTAAACAAAAATATTAGATACATGTGAGCAGAATATTGAAAGCAGGAGGAAATAGAAAACAAATATTTCCATGACAGAACTTAATATTTTTAAGTAATATCTCAAACAGTAAATACATGCAATCAATAAATTTTTAATCGCTTTAAACATACTGAGGAGTGTGGATGATGAAATCTTTTGGTTTAAAATAAATACATTTTTGAAACACTATGACTATATGAACTTATAAAAATTGTTTAAAAAATGATACAAATCATCGACACTAACTTTACAATATCCTTTTAAATTCTATAATAATTAAGAAATTTTAAAAGATTCAAACTGTACGCAGCAAAACATTACTTTTTAATTAAAAGTAGAAAGATGTTTAAGTATACATAAAAAACTTTAAGCAATGGCTTTCAATTCATGCATTCTCATTGGATCGTAAAATCCCATGATATAATCTATATAGACCAAGGAGATCCAGATATACTTTGCTTTATCAGCATAAAATTAATAAAAATTATAACGATACTTACTTATAAATTATTAATTTATTCCTTATTTGAGGGTATGTGCTAGTAATATTTATTTATCATCCCTTCTAAATATTTCTCTCTGGTATTATCATATTTTCAATCTTTGTGATAATTTAAAATGAAAGGCGTAAAGTAAGAGTGCAATTCATATATTTATTTTTAATTTTCATGTCTTAAAGTAAACAGAGTTTAAAGTCCATATTTTATAATAAAGATATTTAGTCAATGCTTTACAATTATTAAATGGTACATAAGTTATATCTTCCTTTAATATACTTATTTTTAAAACAAATTTTATTAATACTGAGCTTACTCAACATGTAATAGTCAAAATAATAAATGTCATATAAATAATAAACTTTTTGCAGCATTCATAGTTAAATCTCTTAAGAAAAAAAACATTTAACAAGTTTTTTCAGTAATTAAAGAATTTGAAATAATAACCAAGCAAAATTTTTTTCAAAAAAATTAGAAAGATTTTCACATCAAAGTACAAATTTTACCTGAAATGTTTTAAAACTGAAAAACGTGCATGAAAATTTAATTAATCTTGATAATTAAGGTAAAAGACATCAATGAATATTGTTAATAACAATCAATAAAGTCAATATTGAATCATGGACATAAGAAGCATACTAACTTGCCATAATTTTCATCTATAAAAGTGTAGAGAAAATGAATCAAATTATGCTTCAAAAAGTAATGCACAAGGCGATGACATAGCTCTGAGAAAGTTATAGTAGCTTTGTCAGAAGAAAATATAGACAAATCATTTATATTGCATTGAGCTCTTCCAACGCGTGTTAGAAATAAGGTGATATTTTCTTGTTCTTCTTCACAAAATATTCCATGCCTAGGAAAATAAATAAACAAAATTATGAAAAAAGTAAACAATAATAGATAACCAATAATAATAGATACATAATAACAATAATAGATAATTGATCTCATAAAAAATACATTAATGATTATTTGAAAATAATCAGAAAATAGATAGACAAGTTATAATTAGCAACATATATAACTATTTACAGGATTTTTGTAATCGTACTGCTACTTTTTATAATAATGTAATTTGTTTTACACAGTAATATTAAAATTCGAAATTGCACATTTAAATTATATTCCATAAATTACATTTTTATCTAACAATAAAATAAGCAGTAAGAAAGTAGAAAAATTGAAAGGTAAGCAGCCTAAAAAAGATTGCTACAAATACAAGTTGAATATTGGTTAAACAAATTAGTTTTACCAAACGTGAAAAGAAAAAGAATTTTCCTCCAAATGGCAAAAACAGTTTATACAGATAAAGCATCATTTACAAATTGAATACAGAAGAACGTAATCATCCATTAAAAAAATATTGGGTTTGTAGAGTAGGTTTCTAAAAACTCTTAAGAACTATGGCTATGATATCCAATCATCGGCTACTATCAATACAAGAAATTTATTTGCACGAAACTGACAAGGAAACAATCCCAAGCTAAACCCATAGAATTCAATGACATTTTCACAGGCGTTAAAAGAACTTACAGATAAACCATATCCAAAAATTAGTTGCTAAATTGTATTAAAACAGGAGTAAAATAATAATGAAAATCCAGTTATGGTTATTAAAATCATACAGTTATCAATAAGCCTATAAAAAAGTTATCAGAAAGCCTATAAAAAAAACTCGTGTTTAAAAATAAACAAGTTCTACCAACAAGACTTTTCAACATATAAGAATAGCATCTTAATAATTTGTTTAACTGATAGAAAAAAAAAAGGGGAAAGGATGCACAAATAAATTAAAAAATATAAAGATAACTTTTTAGTATAAAACAAAACAAAAAAAATTACAGCCTTAACTTCATGTAAACAATAGAAAAGGCATTATTAACGCAGAATGTATGTTTAAATTTGATTTCAAACAGTTTTGTTTGCAAAGTCATCCTCCAAAAAATTTAAAATCACTCAATGAAAATTTGGATTACTTGGTTTGGAAAATCGGTGTTTTTCTGTAGATTTCCATCAGGCATTTGGCATTAAAAATTTATTAATTTTTCAAGGCTTCACCACTACTGTTGAGCAACTACTTTTCAGACTATGGATTTTCTATCGGTTGTCCTAATACCTGTAAAACTTTCATCAAATTCTAAGAGTTCAGGTTCGGAGCGTTTCATAGAGTATGTGAGAAAAAAACTATGTGAAACTAATTTCAATTTGAATTTAAAGTAAATTATCTAACCAACAACAAAGAACAATCAACTCATAAACATACCTCGCTAAAATATTTAAAAGTGTTTCTGACACGTGTTTTGTAGCTTTGACAGGAATAGCATCGATCATATCTTTTGTCAACGGCCATTTATCAAAGAGAGAAAAACTATCAGTACTTTGAGGATGGATACCTAACCAAATGTCTATCCAATTCATGAGATAAGGAAGATTGCCATTCTCAAGTAAATAAAACCATATGGACATTTTATCAGCTTCCCAAAAGCCATCTACAACATTAAAAATGGTATATTAACTATAAATCATATTTTTTAACTAGAAATAATTCAAGAGTCATTAGGTCCAATTATAATGCATGTAGAAAAAGAAATTATGACAGGAGAGTATTAGAACTTCACTTTGGAGTAAAAAATAAAAAAAGATATTGTTTTATACAGTTAATGTTTTTTATTTTTTTATGCTTAATAAATGTTACTAAAAAATAAATTATTTAAAAATATTTCGAAATTATTTATAGAAACAGTTTTTTTCAAATATAATTTAAGAAAATATTAGTTCCAATTAGTAACAATGCTTATATATGTTATTTAAATTTATTTTTATAGAGGATTTTTTTTTAATGAAACTAAAAATATTATAATTCAATACTTTATATTTTAAAATAAAATATTATCGGTAATTACAATAAAGCGCCAAGTATACAAATGCCGATTTACAGGATTATACAACTATCTGGATCCCGCGTTTTTGCCACCTTTTTCAGAGAAAAAATCGCTAAATAGTTCATTTATTTTTAGAGTATCTGAAAGGAGTAAAAAAAGGGCTTTTTTCTAGGTGACTTTGTGACCTTGAACCTCAGGTGACAAGTAGTAGACAAGACCATATGGGTGACAAGTAGTTTTTAAAAGAGAGCGGGTTTCTAAAAAAATTTTAAAAAATTAAAATTTTTAAACGTGTTAAAATTGTAATAAGCTATAACAGGCACTACTACAATTGTCCATCCTTAGGAAAAATTATGAATGGAAGTTACTTATAACATTCTCATAGTTGTTTTTTAAAATTGTCCAATTATCCGGATCGGGTTTGATCTGATCGGTCTGGATAATTGGCACTCTACTGCATTTTCAAATGTAAAATTTTAATAAATTTTCAAAAATTTGCAAATTGTAAAGGAGGTCTGGGTTTATTTGTATTTTTACCAATTCACATAAATAATGAAAGGCCAGAAATTAACTCTAAATATTTATTAAAAAGACAAAACACACATAAAATAAAACAAGAATAAAAAGGAAATACAAGAATTTGGAAGAGGGAATTAAGGGCTCGAATTAAACGTCCCTATTTTACGGCGGTTCCTAGCAGACTATCTTAGTTCACCGCCAGAGGCGCTGTAGTGAGGAAAACAGGAAAGTTTGTCACAAAATCCTTTTAAAATATCAAAAACCTCTTAACCTATACACACGTCAAATTAGCGAGTTGTGAAATAAAATTCATATAAAATAACTTAATCCTATCATAAAGCTTCACAAGAATTAAATAAAAATAATTTATTCATTAATAATGAAGTTGCAATAAAAATAAATAACAGCATTGAAAACATTTTCTGTTAGATCTGTACTAATTGTTATTTTTTAATGATGCAATAAAAGTAAAGTACTTCTGCAACAGCCAGTTGTCAACCAAGGAGAACGTGGAGGTTTAGACTCCGCAATTTTAAGAACAAAAGCGATATAGCACACCAAAAATATTAAAAGTATAGTAAAAATATAAATAAATTCTACTCTTTTACGTCTGGAAAGACTAGAAAACTGGCACCCATTTTTGAGCACTAGAAACATGGCAACAGTAATTTTCAATCTGTATATTTAAGCAAATGAAGCTTTTTAATCAAGTAATATCTTATCACTTCAGTTTCTTGAGATTATTTATTTAATAGAAAATTATATATATTTCATTGATTGCATGAGTGCTTTAATTAGACACTCGAAGGACAGTTTGACACTCAGTTTAAAACATTTTTGAAACTTTTTCTTAATAATCTTAAAACATTCAAATATAATTTTAATAAATTATGTTTTAGAATAAGAAATTAGCTAAAAGAGAGTTTACTGTATGAATAATATATAGAATGAATATAAGTCATTGAAAATAAATAATATATAATTAACAACAAACCTGTTTTAAGGATCGATTCCAAATTGCTTGAATTTGTTAAATACAAAGGAGCTAAGATTCTGCCTTTAATTTCATTATCCCAAACTTTAAGCCAATCTATAACTAAGCGACAATAAGCACCAGTTTCGCTATTATCTTGAATAAAGTTCTTAAAGTCACCAACTAATAATCGTTCATTATTTTCTGGTACAGCACAAATCATGTCTTTAATAAGTGCACTAAAATTTTAAAAAACACTACTAATATAAAAAAAATTATAATTATGGTACATATTTTGTTTACACATGTAAAGAATTAAATGAAAAATAGTAAAATCAAGTCATTTCAATAATAAAGTCGAATGATCAGGTCCCAATATTTAGGTCGGAAGAATGTTCAAAAGCATAGCTTCTTAGAAGCTCTAAGCTGTTTACATGTTAATATTCCAAAAATGCCATGTGTGAATGCTCCAAAGGTTTGAATGGAATAAGGGAATGAATGTGTTCAATTTTAACTTCTTTTGACATTAATTTGCAGGTGGCTGATAACAAATCGATAGTGACAAAATGCTTAGAAAGTTATGCAAGATATGCACTTTTTCATACTCAGTGTTTTTCTCTTTTGTTGAAATCCTACCAATTGAAAAGAAGTTCTTTTTGTCAAAATGAAGACTTTCAGGAGGCTGCTATACTTTTTTGTGTTATTTGATAATGATAGAGTTAAAACTTATTATCAAAGGGGTTTTTCAATGCCTACCTAACAATGGTATTGAATAGATTCTTGCTATTGATAGTTTCTCCTTTCTGATTCCTGTAACTTATTTCACTTCACCCATTAACTTGTGCTGAGTTATTTAAAGAAAAGTGTGATCTTTTTTTTTTATTTGTCACATTTCATGTCTAAGAGAGAACCATGTCTAAGAGATGTATAACAATACAACAAAAAATAGCCTTCTTAGAAACATTTTCTGATTTAGATTTGGAAAACCTAGATATTTGTAAGCTAAAGCCTGATTAACCAGGGGTTTTAGTCGATGCAGAAAATATAAATGAAAACAACTTTGGAAAATCAAATTCTAAATTAAAACAAATAGAAAACGAAAAAGTGTAAGCTCAAGTAAAAAATCAAATAAAAAAGTGAAATTTGACAAGCCAACAAAATCGAGAAAACCAGAAACTATTTTTTTAAAAGTGCCAGGAACACATGCTTGACTGACTTGTTCTGATTGAAGATATGTACTTAAACACAGATGAAGCAATATTAAGCACCGTCAGTAAAAAATGCCTCTGCCAAAGGCCAATGTTCGAAAAATGCACTTAAAAAAAGTTTTTCCAATCTATTTTTTTATTGTTTATACTCTTTAATAATGAATTTATTGTATTTCAAGCTACTTAGCTTACTTTTTTAAAATTCAACACTGTTATAGTTATTATTGCTTTCCCATTTGGAGTATTTCTCCAAATCTCTGGAACTATTTTGAGTGAAATACTGTTTTACAGAAGTAAAAAACTAAATCACCCAAAGAAAATTTCATTCAATTTTTTTTCTTCTTAAATCATTTAATACTTTACTAAATACTGATCAAAAATAATTGATAAATACAGGTTAAGATCCCATTTAGACAAGAAAACTTTTGTAAATACAAAGTGTTTTGATTACAAAGTTGTGAATACAAAGTGCTCACAAAAGTTAGGTTAAATAAATAAATGTAAATATATATAGAAGTTTTAAAGATTTTTAATTGTTTTATATCATAATAAGATTAAAAAATATAGGACGCAACCTCTTCTTTACCTTTTTTCTTCTAATAAAATGCGAGCATGTTCAAAGGAAGAGCATGAATAAAGCTTTTCCAAAAGAGAAACAAATCTCAGCGATTCTAAATCTTGATCTGTCAGTAAATTTCTACTCATTAGCTCCGTAACAAGTAAAGCCCTAACATCTTTTTCAGATGTTGCCTTGAATATGTCTAGCAGACGCTGATTGATATTTGCCCCCTATAACAGAAACAAAAACAAAATATATAATTAATTAGAAAATAATTATTAAGATACAATAGATACCCACTAAATTGATCTGATCTTAGTTTAACTAGTTCATCACTTCAACTGTTGGGGAAAAAAATACAAATAGTTAAAATATGAAAATCGTATGTTTTTATTTATTATTATTTACTTATTACAAGTTTTGTTTGATAGACAATGTAACAAAAAAAAATACACATGAGTTTTGTTGTGTGCAATATTTCTAACTGAAGAGCATGATGGCAGCAATTTACAGCTAATTACTTATTCAGATCACTATAAAGTTGCCTTGACTTGGAATTAGAAGACAGAACGATCCTTCACACCAGGTACATACACTTTTATGGAACTTCTTTGCTTTCATTATTGTAGACATGGAAATAACCATTCACCACATGGCAATTTAACATAGGAAGTGACAATTTAAATTAAATAAGCAACTGATACCTTTCTCCCATTTTCTTTAAAAGATCATTTAATGATGGAAATTAATCAATTCGAAAAACAGAATTTTCATTGAAATGCCCAATGTCTCCAGTCAAAATTTTGATCCTTCAGATTCCATCAATTTGTGGCGAAGCAATTCATGGAGAAGGAGAGTTCTTAAACAATTCACGTTTTGAAAGTTATAATGAATGATAATTTGTCTCCCCAAATATTTTTAAATAAAGTTATTTTAAGTCAGTATGATCAACTAAATTTTGTCCCATATTTATATCATTTTTATTGCAGAATTAACTTTTTATAACAGTAGATTATTTCTATTCTTGATTTTTTTTTTCTATTTTAGATTTCTTTTTTTGGATTTTTTTAAAAAGCTTTTTTGATTTTTTTTTAAAATTTTTTTATTAACAATATCAGTCATTGACTTGTTAGGTTTTGGAAAAAAGTGGGTATTAAGTTATTAAAGTCTGCAGGCCACCTACTTCTATCTGAAAATTTAAATTTTCAGGTCAACATTATTGTATACAAAATGTTCCGAAGTTTGATTTACAAATTCAGAGGGGTGATAAAAAGCATCAAAAAAAAGAAAACTTACCATAAAGTAAGTGATTGCAAACTACTATGGAAGGATAAGAATTGCAAAAAACCAATGCAGGTTTCAAAATAATGTTTGAAAACAACTACGAAAGGTACTAAAAACTTGTTAACTATAAAAAGTTTATTTTATTAAAAGAATTGTTGAAAGTAGCACCAGCTGATATTATTGAACTGTCTATGCTGATGTAAAAATTTTTTGTGGACATGCTCGAAAATGTCAGGTGGGCTTTTGATGTCTGCCAAAGCAAGGGGAATTCATGCTATAAGTATGTTTTTTTACACAATTTTCAGCTACTCAATGTGTTTGCGACCTTATGTTCGAAGATAAATTTTCATCCTTGTGATGCCTTTTATCTCCACAATGAATGTGTCTGTCAACCTTCTCTCGATAATGCCTCGTATTTCATATTGCAGTCTGAACATTGTTATTAAAGTTAGTTGTTAGATAAAATGTGCAACATTTACAATATTTTATTAAAGCATTCAAATGGTTTATCTAAATGTAATACTCTTAAAGCGTCGCTTACACCACTGTTCGTAGAGCTACAGAAAGTCCGTTCGATCCAGACAGCTAATAAAATAACAGGCATGCATACGCAGCAATGTGCAAATTAAATCTGTTGTGGTTGAAAGCCCTCTCATTGGTTGTGGAAGTTTGGAGAGTGGGATACCAGTTCAGACACTGTTCACAGACCAGGGTCAAAATTACAAGGCATACCAATCATGACCGTTAAAAGATAGAACTCGAAAATGGGGTTAGGCGCTTGACCATGGTTGAGTGATGTGTATCAAATTGTAGTAGTAAGTCACATTTTTTCCAAACAAGTCGTCTTTACATCATATTGTTTTTCCATTGCATTTTCAAGGTACATCACAAGTTTTCCATATTTTCCTTAAACAACAGCACATTACATTGCCCCATCAAAAATATTTAATTGCCCACATTTTTTAAAGCTCTCAAATTTAAACCAGATTTCTGCAACACTAACTTTTGTAAAATATCATTTAAATCAGTTAAAATTAATCCTATCACATAAAAAAGGGATGTTTGCCAGATTATTCTTAATAAAAGTTTGAAATAGACGTTACCATGTTAACCAAAATCACAATGGTTTCATCAAGCTTCCCTTGGCGCAAATAATCTAGAACTAACTCTTTAGCAACATTTTCAAATTCCACATAAGAGAAACTGCAGTTTTCCTTACAGCAACAAGAGAAATACGATTGTGCCATTGGGATCATTCCTCTTAGAATGGAATCCTGAATAACTTCCTATAGGAAAAAATACAGTATAATTTTCTGAATTAAAAATAAAAATTACAATATTAAATCAGAAACAGTGTACATATGAACGCAATTATGGGCTATGCATATGAACCACGATTACTTTTTAAATCTGAGAAAGTCTTTTCAAATTTCAGGAAGTTAAAATTTATGCATTGTTTAAATATGACCAAACTGATACTTTTCTAAGTAATTTCCCTCAAAATAATGTGTTCGTAATATTTTTTAATGCATATAAACTTTAGCTGATACCAAAAGTCCAAATTCCTTCATACTATGTCTTTTTCAAACAATGTCAAAACAATCCATATCTTTGAAATAATGATTTTTTTAAAAAGTTCTTGAATACTTTAGTTATGATTACAATTTTGTTTATTGAATTTAATAGTTATTCAGCTTATTGAGCAAAATATGTGACTTTCAGTAATAGTTTTTAATTTTATCTCTAGGAAGCAAATAAGATAGATATAGCAATTACAATAATAAACCAAAAAACTTTTAATGTATGAAAGAAATCCATATTAACAAGACTGCAATTGCACTACCCTATAACAATTTTAACTACACTACACTAATCATTATGATTGCTTCTTTCAAATAATGACTAGATTGTAATTTTTCATTTTACCCGTTGAAAACAAGTAAAATGAATGGATAATAATACAGCAAGTACAATAATAAATCATCAAAAACATAAAGCAGAAAAATTCATATTATCTAAGATCCTACAAACTAGTGCAACTACACTATTGCAGATTCATACACCTAGCTAGACTAAAATTATGATTAATATTGTTTCTTTGAACAGTAATTTGGCTTATTAACCAAAAATGGAGATTTCCTAGAGTAGTTTTTAATTTTATCTGCTGAAAACAAATAAGATAGGTGTATCAAGCTTAATATACATAAAATAAATAACTTTTAATGTAGAAAAGTTTATATTACTAAGACAACCATACTACATTTTTATAAGTTTATGCCCCTATCTAATAGATTTATCATCTAACAGCTAATATATCAGAGCAACTACACAACATAATTACAAGTTTTTGACTCTATCTCATTGCAAAAAAGAACGCTACCAGCCTTGCAACTACAACTGATATTTTCTATATATTTCAAACATCATTTACAAAATCATTTGAAAGTTAATAATTTTAATTAAATATAAAAAAAAATATATATAATGACTTTCAATTACACTAAAACATCTAAATTACAACCAACAATATAAAACTACTACAGTTTATGCAACTATAATTACCTTAAGATCCAACTTCTCCCACTGTTTCCACTGTAGTTGAATTTGCTCATCATAAGTATGATGTATCACTGAAGATTCTTCCAATTCAGATGTATCATCACTATTTGAATTGAATTCACGTAACAGCTTCCGCATTTTCAAGAGTAGTTCAGAAAATGTCTTCAAAAATGCTTCTTTAACATTTAATGTGACATGTTCATCAATTTGAACTTTATCTTCAACTTCTGCCAATATCTGTGTTACCATTCCTATTATGACCTAAAAAACAATGACACATAATAAGTTATTACATTTAAAAATACATAGCATTTTTTAAAAAAATAAAATATTTAACTTTTGTATGCAAAGTTAATTATTTATTTTTACCAACTATATAAAATATTGTATTTGTCAGCGAATAATCAAAATTATGTGATATTTTATTAAAAGATAAAGGAAGTCAAAATGATCATTTTCAAACCATTTAAAATAACTTAGTTTAAAATAACTTATTAACTAACTTCAATCCATTCAAGATATCTTTTCTACATTTAGAACTTCAAAATCAATTTTTAATTGAAAATTTAACTAATGAATTCCTTTTTTCTTCTAAACATAAAGATCTGAGAACTAAAAACAGTTTGCTGAGAACTAAAAACAGTTTGTAACCCTCTCCAAGCAAGGTCTTCATGAATTCAATATCTAGAAATATTCCGAATTTGTGCTTTGAAGACATTGACTTGAGCAAATTTTTTTCCAGTAGTTCTTTACTTATATAATTCCTTCTAAAAATACAGCAACATCATCAACTGCTAATCGGATTTAAAAAGCATAGAATTGCAGGGAACTCTTTCAAATTTATATTTGGATAGTTCAAAATCTAAAACAAAATAGATTGTATAAGCAATTTGTGTGGCCAGTAGCGTAACTAAGCAATATCAGTGACAAGGTAATAGTTTTTTATAGCCCCTTTTAACAGATGCACAATTAACTGTATAGTTAGAATTTTAGATGTCTCCATGTTAATTTAAATTGAGATATCTATAAAAATTAATGTTAACATAAAAAATGTAGCTTCATGTAAAATAAAATTAAAAGAGTATTTTTATACATCGTAAAAAAAAATCATTTCTTACTTGTAAAAGTTGTTCAGCATATTGACATGAATGACTATCATCAAGATTTTTATAAACATTTTCTAATACTAGATCAAGAATTTTAGTCCATAAAAGGCATTCTTGATCCATCTTTTTTAACCATTGTAAAGATTTTGATGAATTACACAACTGACAAAAACCTGCAAATTTAAAAAATAAATAAATAAGTAAAAAAAAACAATATATGATAAGTATAAATAATAAAAAATTTAAGAAGAGAATAATGAGCATTTTCTATGCATAGTACAGAAATCAGTGCACAAAGCTATCTATTAATACCTTCATAAAGTGTTTTGAGGAAGAATTCAACTGTGTATAGTTGCCTGTTGCTTAAGCCTAACTTTAAAACTTCTATATCCATGTGCATATTCACCCAATTATTTAAAGACGACAATGTCTCAACAGTTTCGCTACTCGGATAAATCATCAGCTACAAGAATAAGTAATTAATATATATGAATCATTAGAATGAAAAATAATGTTTATACAACATAAAGTAACTGTCAACAAGAAAAGAAAATGTTTCTTCCAAACATTAAATTAAACCAAGAATCAAATATTAAATTTTAAAAATACCTAAACGTTTTGGTAGAAAACATATTATCACACCAATAAAACATAAATATACCAACAAATGATAAAACAAAAGAACAATAAAATATTAGACGCTGAGTGTCAATGAATCTTTTGAAACGAGTGCTCAACATTTAAAAAAATCACTTTGGACAATTTTTTAAACATGCTACTTACAATTACACTTTAAAAAAAATTTTTAAAGAAAAATTTTATTGTTTTAAGCAAAGCCTAAACCTTTTGCTTACAATGCTAAGCATGATACCACCTGCTATTCTGGTCCATCAGTTGTACCAAGTGTAAGCAAAGAATTAAATTTGTTTAAATCTCCATATAAATACGACAAAAAAATAATTTCATAAAAAAATTAAGTAAAAATTACAATCGTTAAAATTATAATTTTAGGAATTAAAGTTTTAAAAAATTTCAAGTTATCTTTTATTTAAAAACCTTTCTTTCTTCTCTAAGTATGCAGTTATAGTGGTAAAAACCTTCAAAATAAGTCAATCATATGGTTAGACAATATCAGAATGATGAGATTGAATCTGCATTATCCAAATACTAAAGCTCATCATGGCTCACCAGTGCTAAAGAATATATGACTAATTGATCCATTAAATAATTTTATTCAAAGGAAATTATTTTAATATCATTCAGAATTTTTTATTAATAGATCTTAATTACCACTGTCATATTATTTGTCTAAATAAATTTATAAAAACACTGCACTTGAAGAAAGTTATATCTTATCTGAAATTTTTTTCTCTTGCACAATATTCATAACTTTAAATTAAATGAACATTATCACTAAATTCAGAAGAGGAGAAAAAATACTAAAAGTGATAGTCTTTAGAAAAGAACATAGCAATATTTTTTTTATTTTTAACATTGTTTTATTATAAGTTAGAAGTTAAAATTTTTAACGTTTTCTTATAATTAAAATTTATTATACATAAGTATTTAAAAATATGTATAATAGTTATTATGCATTATTAATACATGATACGCAATGGACAATTTCTCACTTCATTAACTAACTTGTCTTGCTCAACATCATACAGAAGAAGAAACATCTTATCCTCAGATAACAGTAGTAAAGGAAATGGAGTTTCTTCAGAGCCATTCTTGATAAAATAAACTGGATCTGAAAACCTGAAGTGGTTTAAAAAAAAAAAACAATTAGAATAAAGTTCAAAACAGAGTATTTGCACACTAAATTACATTTAAGAGATAAAATTAAATTAGCATCATATTTCATGAGAATTAAACTTTTTACTAATTCACAACGTTCTAAAATAACTATTCTGGTATTAATGTACTACTTTAATAGAGCTGCATGGATCGGCTATTAAAGATCTGGGAAGCATCCCTGACAATGATCCGAAGACATGCAATCGTAATTTTGATCCTCTGCAGAGGGAATAGCTTCCCTGCTTTTATAGCATGGAGAGCTGCACGCAAAGTAGAGCACTTCACTGTAGAGCGGTTTAACGAGGATCGATAATGCACACCTTTAGTCTCTTTGCAGGTAGATCAAAATGGTCACCAAACCTTTCATTGAACGCTCCCAGTTGTGCTTAACATCAGTGATCTACTAGGAATTGTGTATTAATGATATGTCCACTACGGGACCTGGGATTAATGGATATGAAAAGATTATTTTAACATAATTTTAAATAAACTTATTCAAAAGGTTGCTATCCAAAACTAAAGATACAAAAGCAATTTTTACAGTAATGTAAAACAATTAAAAAAAATTTGCAATTGGCAGAAATGATGATTAGATATAGAACAGCAAAAATTAATAATTGTTAAATTTTGTGAAATTTTTTTATTTAATAGTCTAGAATATGAATAGAAAATAGAATGAATAGAATAAAACATTAGTTTCATTCAATGAAGAATTCATTAAATGAAGTTTAATACAAAAAAAAATTGACAATGCATATTATAAAGAAAATTGACCAAATTTGTTGAAGCAAACCAGTGAATATTACTGCCAAAAAAATCACAAAATGGGTCAAAATTAAAACATTTTTTGGAAATTCGCTGTTTATAAATACACAAAGTAAAGTTCTGCTTCATAACATTCTTAGATTTTAATAATAAAAAAAATAAAAATATCTCAAAAATATTAGATTAGAGATTCATTTATTCTTAAATATCAATTTAATGGCTTACATTAATTGTAACATTATAAACATTTTCTTATATAAATAACATGGAATACAATAAACCCAAAATGAAGTATAGTGGTTCTCTGCTCCTTTATACTGGTTTATAGTAAAAATGTTCGATTATTCAAATATTAATTAAAGATGAAACAAATTTCATAAAAAATAAAAAAATAGAAATAATTTAATCTACAATATTGTTATAGATTAAATGAAATTCATTCAAGTGAAATTCATTAAGTAAATTTCATAAGTTAAAAATTACAAGTTTCGATGACTAAGATTTTATTTTGGTTTTTGTGGACAAAAATGGTCTAATATATACATTAGGAAAATTCATTAAACCATATTTTCAATACGACAAATTTGGTTTTGTTTTTATAAATCCATAACATGAAAAAAAACTTATAATCTAACATAAGTATTACTGACTTAAAATGTTTCATTTGTAGGTTAAATATACTAATTTAAAACTGTGCTCTTAAAAAAAAATTATCAATGAAAAAAGAAACTTTTTTTTAAATATCCAATTAATGTGCTGGTCCAGAAAATTAAAATTTTAAGCCTTGAATAAAAAGCATGTTTATTAAAATGTTTAATTTCGAAAATCTAATAAATGTGCTAGTAAATAAAATTAAAAATAAAAATTTTAAGCTTTAATTAAAAAGAATGTTCAATAAAACATTTCATGAAATACACGTCTATTAAATAGTGTAGAAAATATATTCAAATAAAAAGCTAAGGCTAAGAATGTCCATCATAAAATTTGCAAGTCAGTTTTATGTTAAAAATGTTAAAGTAAATAGCAATAAAATGTTAAATGAATATTACATTTTAAATAGCAATAAAACAGTCATCTTTACCTCTTATGTAATGAAGACTGATCTGAATTAAGCAGATGAACACCAACTAAAGACTCACTGCTGTTATTTTGTAAGAAAAATATTTTGTTTTCTACAACAATCAACTCCTTTAAAACAAAATCATCCAATTCGCAGTTAAAACTAACAGGTAAGGAAGATGTTGAAGATGTAGAAAAACGTCTCATTTTTTCATTTAATCTCTTCACAGAAGGAAATTGTTTGGTAAAAGCTGTAATTGAACTATTTCCTTGTGGGTGAGCAGAATTGGGAAAAAACTTTGATACATTTAGTGGCATAATATAGACTTGTTGTTTTTCAGTAACATAAACTAATAAATCTAATTTCAGATTTACAGTATAATTTACGACACTTCCTATTTCACTTTGCTTCATGTGACCATCAATAAATTCAATATCAAACAATTTGGTATTATTAGCAAATGAATGGATAGCTATATCAGAAGTTAAGAAACACAACATAAATAAATAAACACACTTATGAACTTCAATAAAAGGAAAACAAAATAAATGTAATTACAGTAAAGTGTCCGTAATCTGGACACACGAGGACCAAAGCCGATCCTACAAGAATGTTTTATGTAACTTCTCTGAACAATTTTTCCTGTCTAAGGATTGGCAATTGTATTAGCGCTTATTACAGCATATTGCAAATGTAGGGTTTAAAAGTTTTAATTTTTTAAAATTTTGTTAGAAACCTGTTTCTTTATTAGAAAATACATACCACTCACATTGAAACTGGGTTCAAAGAACATGAGGTTCTCTACAAAGCCACCAAGAGACAAAAAAAGCAATTTTTCGACCTCTTACAGATATTTTGAAAATAAAAAAGCATTTACGCAAAAAAATTCTTTTTAGGAGAAATAGGGGGAAATGGCCGATGGGGAGAAGGTGGGGTTATTTATCAATAAATAGGGTTAAAATAATAATTTTTTTATCTTTCATTAATTTTATTTTAATCATAAAAATATAATTTCTGTTGTACTTATTCAGTAAATTTGATGCAAAATGCTTAAATATACAAAAAAGTGAACAAATAATTGAAATGTAGAAAAAGGATACATAGTTTTGTTCCCTCATCGTTTAGAGCAAATAATATTTCCTTGGAGATTAAAACTTTTCTATATGATGGACTATCATAGCGTAAGTCAGAAATGGACATAATTTGAGGATTTTCTTCACATGATGGGAAAAAAGCAGCAACAATACATTGGTTAAATAGACAAACAGCTTCTCTGGCCTCAAATTTAAGTATTTTAACTGAGGATAATTTTTCCAAGCCTGAAAAATATAAGAAATTTTACTCATATTTTATGCATAATAAAGTGCTAGAAAAAGTAGAACTATTGTTTAATAACTACTTTTCTAATTTATTTTAACGATAAAAATTATTTTGGTTATTCTAATAAACACATTTTAGTTAAATTAATTATGTTAAGCAATTTAGTAATTACAGTGCCCACCGTGCATTGAAATCAGGTTAATTCCAAGAACATTTTATTTTATTATGCAGATGATTTTATAAACCAACCAGAATCTACGCAAAAGAAAAAAATATTTCAAAGTTAAACTTAACAAATCTATTATAAATTAAATTGATTAAGACAATAGTTTATTTAACTGAATTTACAATTGAAATTTTACTTAAATAGAATATACAATATTTAATTTACAGAAGGGTTATAAAATACTAGCATATTTGCTTGATTATTAAGATCTGAAGTCCAAGATTTAACATGGTTTGAAAGTTTATACAAGTTTTTGTAACTTTCAATATTTTTTTCCCTTGTCATAATGCTCGTTTTAAAACATGAAAGGCTTGGATTTTTCCGCCATTTATTGCATGTAGATTTACGTATTGAATGATTGATGGAATAATGATCATTGACATTACATGATATTTATGAATTGAGAAAAGGTATCAATTATTGTAGATTGATTGGTATTCAATTACTTTTCTTAATTCATAAACAGTTATCATCTGTATTCCCCCATCAAATTTTGTCAAAATTATGTGGCAATAACCTCAAAACTTTCATTGCAATTTAGTATCTAAAAAGTTTACTTTTCACAGAAAAATGGGATAGTTAAACATGAAATCACTCTAACTACTACAGCAACATGCAATGTAATTACAGGGTGCGTAGCCAAATTATTCAACAAAAAATAAGCACCTTTTAAACACTTTTCAAGCACTCAAAAAATATTTTTAAGCACTTCAAAAGATATAATTAGGTAGGGTTGGAAAGTTTTTGACAATTGACGGTTTTATTTTGCTTTAACCATGATGTCAAAAAAAAAAAATTTGGCATTCTTTTTGACAATTGTCAAAAATTATGAAATTTTGAATCATGTAAAACGAATGGCGTTTTCATACACTACGGACTGACAATAAGCCGAAATAGATTGGTGTTGAATTAATTGTGTTAACGTTGAATAGAACAATGTGAACTGTGTCTTTTTGCATAATTCATAGCGAAAATCAACATGGTAAAGGAAAAATCTCATTTTAAAAAAAGGGAAAATTAAGCACTTTTTAAAAACACCCAATGAAAAATGCACCTTTAAGGGCTTTTAAAAAATGAAAATTGAAAATAAACACCTTTAAGCACTTTTTAAAATTGCTATGCACCCCGAATTAGACAGACTTCAATCAGACATTGATATTTCATTGTTGGGACAATAACATTTTTATAAAATTTATGCAGCAGAAAAACATTTGAAATAATTTACTAAATTTCTACGCCAGTCTGTGAGAAAAACTTTCTTTCTGCTAACGTGCAGTAGAAATTAATGAGAAAACATACAAAATTCCAACAATTCAATTTAGGTTTCAATTTCTATGTTTTATATAACATTAACGGTTGTTCATTGAAGTAGAGCTTGATTCAAAAGTTGTTCATAGGTATTAAAAAGTTGAGAGCTGTGGTTTTTTTAAGTGTAGATAGACATTAAAGCAAAACATTTAGGCATGTTAAGGGGGGGGGGTAATAATAGTTTTAGAATAGAAGATAATCAAGATTTGTTACACATTATGTAAAAGAATCAATAACATTTTAATAAATTTCCACAAAACCTCACACTGCAAAAATTACAAATTCTTTATTTATATTAATCATTAATATTTTGCACATATAATGCTAAAAATATTAAACATATATTTTTAAAAGAGAGAAAATTTAATAAAATAATTCAACTTTAAGAAAAGTTAAAAATAAAAATGTTACTAACATTTAGCAAGTTCTCCAAAATATCTAAAAATATTGTCCACTGTCCATGTTGCCAGTTTACTTTCAACTAGATGTTGAATTCCACAAGTTTCTACTTTTACTGAATAGTAAAGTATCTCATTGTTTTCATTGACCACAAGCAAATGATAATTATTTTGACAGTAGTTGTCCTCTTGCCAGGAAAACCTATAATAAAGTTATGAGTATCAGTAAAATGTGGAGAAAAAAAACTATAATTCAAATAACGTTGTAACAGAGCTCAAAATCAACTGTGGTACAGTCCAAGATCACTAGAATTTGACTCAAACCATCATAAAATAATTAACAGTGGTTCCCAGACTTATAAAAAATTAAAACTTTTTGGTGAACACAAAATCTCAATTAAAAACTTTCTGCGCGCATTCATTAACTCTTGTAAGTAGTTTGAACCTTTTGTCGCTACCACATTTTTGCAAAATTAGTTTCAAAATTAAGAATTTTTTTAAAATTTTAAATTTTTATAGAACTCTATATTGATTCATATCACACGGTTGAGTTTTGTAAAACACAAAAAACGAAGAAAATAGAAATCCAAAAATTTTATGTGTAAAAACACTTTTTAAATAAGTGAAAAAATACCTGAAATTTAAGTAAGAAAAAAGTATATGTTGGAAGCCTTTAATCACAGAATGAATAATTAATCACAAACATGAATAATTTAATAAAAATATTGATGCTAGATTTTATTCATTTATTTAAATTGTTTCAATATACATCTCAATGTGTGATTTTTAAATCACGCAAATACAAATCTCAATATTTTATTTAAAATTGCGTAAATACGGATCTCTATGTTTAATTTTAAAATCACTTGAATACGAATTCAAGTGTGTAATTTTTAAGTCCCTTTAACACAAATCATAATAGCAGCTTTTAAATTGCTTGAATATAAAATATTTATAATCGCTTGAATAACGCAATATTTGATATAAAATTGTAAAAATACGAAACACGAGGCACGCTAATAGGAATCGTGATGCGTGATTTTAAATCATGTTAATGTTATTTTAAAATTGCATTTGAATCAGTTAAAGCATAAAAACACATCTTTTTTTCCTTTTTAGTAATAGTAAAAAGCATTTCGCAATGGTGACAAATTTTGGCGAATGGAATTTGAACGTTCGTGCATTATACAGGCCAGGTGGTTACCTAGATCAGCAATGAATCACCATTTCATTACAATTGTGAACATAATATAATTCTCTGTAAATTTCCCTTAAATTTAACTTTAAAAACCAGTTTTTTTATTTTAAGTATTTGATACAAGATACTTATAAATATGTGACATTTAACCTATTTATTAAAACATAATGATAAGTTTTGCCTACAAGTTTCCTTTGCAGTTTTAATTAGTACCTTCTGCAGTTTCATCAGTATTCTCAAAGAGATATCTTTATAGAGAGAAATCATTTGGTCACTGGCCCTTTGAAGCCATGACTAAATTTTCTTCATTTATACCAGTAATTGTGGATCAGTGTAAATAAATTAAATATGTATGTATGATAATTCCTATTTTATTACAATGAGGGAAATCTGTAGCTTGCTTTATTCTATTTAGTCTGAAAAAGGAAAAAATCATTTCATAACCAGAGTTCTCCTTAGGAAGAAAAAAGGGCAGGGTGCTTCCTCTTTGAAAAGGGCACTCACTTAACATTGTAAATATTTATTAAAATGTGTAATATTATGTAATACATAACTGAATTTTGAGCTCAAAAATTTTTAAATTATCCTGTCATACTATTTTATGAATATATTTCAAATGACAATTCTCTCTCATTATCAAAATAAAATAAAAATTTGTAGTTCAAAAAATTATTGAAGTCATATTAAAAGGCAATCTCTATGGATATTTCCTTTTTCAAGAAAAGTAAACTAGCAAAAAATGATTGATTGATAAGCAACTTGAAAGCTTTTCTCTATAATTTAAACTGAAAATTATAAGTAAATCAACATTTAAAGACACATAATTTTTTTTCATTTTTAAAAAAAGGCATTTATTTAAAAATTAGATTTAAAATAATTCAAAAAATTTATTAAAACACCCCCCAATAAAAGACACTTAAATAAATTTAACCACTTGAGAATAATCCTAACAAAGTAAATAGTTGAAGTAGTAATCAGAATAAATTCTATAAACACAGATAATTTAACCAGTGTGCAATTATTATTTAAAAACAATGAATATTTTGTTTTCAAATTGGAATCTGAATAAAGAGGCAGTGTTTTTGAGGGATGGTGGTTTACTTTTACAAAAAGGACAAGGAGGACACATTTATTGGGGCAAGAAATCTCAAAGGGTAAGCAGGTCAAGCCACCCTTCAAAAAACTCTTAGGAAAAACACTGTCATAACACTTTATTAAAAAAAATTTTAGATTATATAAATTTCTATCTTAAAATAATATCCAAATAAATATTTTTTAATACACTTTCATTTTTGACAGTTAAAATGTTTAGTTTAATCAATTCATTTTCTCTCATATTAAGGGGTTTTGATCCTTAACATCCCTAAGGGGTTTATCCTTAAGGAATTTTAATCTTGTAACCCTTAGCTCCTGTTCATCAGCATAATGTTACAGATATATATAAGTATATACGTAAATATATAATATATAAATTTATACAATCATATTCATGAATTCATTTTAATTTAAAATGAACAACTTGAACTTAAAAATAAAAGTTCGGAACCAACTATTTCTATCATTAATGTACTTTTTGTTTTATTTTTAAATTAGTATAGCTTATTTACAATCTATCACATTAACTGTTGAGGTAGTTTGCTGATTTGAAAATTATTCTTTTGAAAAATAGTATTAATAATTCTAAATTAATTACAAATATTATTTCTAGCTAATTAATATTACATACTCCTTTATGTTTTTCAGTAACAGCTGAGAAGAGGAAAAATTTACAAGAAATATTAAAAGATCGCCTCGATTGTTGTGGATACATAAGAGCTTTAAATCCGAAGTTGCAATAACATTTCTAGTTCCTTCAAATTTGTTTTGAAATTGTTTTACTAGTAAAGTTTCGAGAGCCATTATGAATATATTTTTTATATCTTAGAGAAAAGATTATGTCATTCTTTATGATTTAATTAAAACGTTTAATGAAATAACCACAGAAACAAATCTGTAAAACAAAAATGTAAACAAAATACAAGAACTCATTGCTAAACTGTCAACAATAACATGTGATTAATCAGTACACTTCATTTCAACTGTCTAGTTGGCCGAGAGGCAAAATTCTTGATCCTTGAATACAGGATTTTTTAGTTTATATTTGTGACTAAATTATTTAAATGTCGATAAAAGAAAAGGAATTTTAGTTAAATTAATTTCAAAACACATTTACAACTGCAAATTGAAAACCCCGTAACCGTCACAAATTTGTCCCGCCGATATAACCGCGCCATTTCACATTTCATTTTCATTCAATTCAACCGACTTAACGTTCATCTTGTGTCCATTTAAATTTTTTGACGTCCGTTGCTAAATTATTTCGTAAGAAACACTTTTCTTCTATTGCTAATTTATCTTTACTCTAATTTGAAAACTTTCTTTAACCATTAAGTCTGATTATACTTAAATTTAGTATAAAATATGTAATAACTTCTTAGTTTTCCGAAACTTACATCTTATGGTGTATTCATTTTTATGTTTGATTTAAATATTTTATATCTTCCAATTGTCCTGATTTAACAATTTTTTTTTTTGTAAATACAATTTCTGTGTTATCTTTAAATAGCTTTTGAACTTTGAGTGGAAATAATCTTGTTATATATAAAACACTAAGTAAACTATTTCATGCTGCGATCTTAGTGTATATATTTTAGATTAATTATTTTAATTTTCTGAATAGGTTTTGATTTATAAAATATACACAAATATCTGATTCTTGCAGTATATGTTTGTAAATCAACATTTGTAGGCAAAGGTAACGTTTTTTTCCTTCGCGTATTTTCTGACTTTTTTTTTTTCTATCGTGCTTAGAGTAAGTTGGAACTGAGCACTAGTTTTGTGCTTCAAATCAAATAAAAAATAAATTTCCTGTTAAAAGCTAATTATTTTTCTGTAAAGCATAGATTTGCGAATGTGTGGCTGCAATCGATTTAATACTTCTTGAGTTAGTGACATTTTTTGGGGGCTCTTTTCCTGACACTATAAACTTCTCTGCCACAGTTCGCGATGCTCAAGTCTTCCCTTAAATTCAGAATTGTGAAAATTATTCCATTTTAATTCTTGGAATTTAAAGAAATAATAGAACTGAATTTCACATTAAGAAATACTAATTTCTTAGTTTGGTGCAGTGATTTATGTATCTAATTCAATTGTTTTATTTTAGGATTCATAATGCGTGAATGTATTAGTGTCCATGTTGGTCAGGCTGGTGTGCAAATTGGTAATGCCTGCTGGGAGCTATACTGTTTAGAGCACGGTATTCAACCTGATGGACAGATGCCCAGTGATAAAACTGTTGGAGGTGGGGACGATTCATTCAATACTTTCTTCAGCGAAACTGGAGCTGGTAAACATGTACCAAGAGCAGTGTACATTGATCTTGAACCTACTGTGGTAGATGAAGTCCGTACTGGTACATACAGACAGCTATTCCACCCTGAGCAGTTGATTACAGGAAAGGAAGATGCTGCCAACAACTATGCGAGAGGACATTATACCATTGGAAAAGAAATTGTTGACCTTGTACTTGACAAAATTCGTAAGCTTGCAGATCAGTGCACTGGCCTTCAAGGTTTTCTTATTTTCCATAGCTTTGGTGGTGGAACTGGGTCTGGTTTTACTTCTTTGTTGATGGAGAGGTTATCTGTTGACTATGGAAAGAAATCTAAGCTTGAGTTTGCCATCTATCCGGCTCCTCAGGTAAATTTATTTCTAGTTATTCAAAGATTAAATATTTAAGACTAGCTTTGCATGCAGTTTTTTAAATATGCATTATGTCTTGTAAAAATGTTATATATATTTTCAATTTTGCTTGAAAATAAACTTATCACTCAACTAAAGACAATTGACAAGATTCGTTTAACCTCGACAGACAAAATAATGCACAACAAAACGATTATTAAGTAGCAAAAGTCTTGCTGAGAATAATTTACAAGGAAAGTTAAATCCTGACAAAATAAAATTCACAGCGATTGCAGAATAACGCAAGTCCCACTGAAAATAATATTTAAGAAACATAAAATCCTGAAGACAAAAATTGCGCGTAAAGAAAATATGCATTGCATTTTATATTTCAACCCTGATCTTTGCATGAAACCAGGAGTTCTGATTCAATTCGCTCTTCATTAATCAAGTATCAGGTAAGCATCTTATTAGTGGATGCATTGATTTTTTTTTCTTCCATAGAGTAAAAGTACTCATTCCTTTTTAGAAGAGTATAGCGGAAGTTGGATGTAGTTAAAGCCGGAAAGAATTTAAGAAAATTTTAAAACTACTTTTTTTTTTTCTAAAGGTGTAGACCTTTAAAAAAAACACTTTACTAGTTCCCTCCTCCATTTTTGCAGTAATGCATGAAGTCGGCATTAACAATATGATTCAAGCCTTGAACGTGGCTTTAAGTTTATTTTGTAGTTGTAGTAAATACCTTAAAATTTTAGAGACTTGAAATTAATTAATCTTGTGTTCTATTTTTTTGTATATAATTTATAACTTATAAGTTGATTGTCATTATAAGTAAAATATATTTTGTACTTGAACCTATAGATTTTTAGAATTTTTTTTGTTCATAGACAAGGCCTTTTTTTTCCCCACCCTAGGTGTCAACTGCTGTTGTTGAGCCATACAACTCCATCTTAACAACTCATACGACCTTAGAGCATTCTGACTGTGCATTCATGGTAGACAATGAAGCTATCTATGATATTTGCCGACGAAACCTGGACATTGAAAGACCCACCTATACTAATTTGAATCGTCTAATTGGACAGATTGTATCATCTATAACTGCTTCCCTTAGATTTGATGGAGCTCTGAATGTGGATTTAACAGAATTTCAAACAAATCTTGTACCATATCCAAGAATTCATTTCCCTCTTGTTACTTATGCACCAGTTATATCTGCTGAAAAAGCTTACCATGAGCAGTTAACTGTATCCGAAATTACTAACGCCTGTTTTGAGCCTGCTAATCAAATGGTTAAATGTGATCCCAGACATGGCAAGTACATGGCCTGCTGTCTATTATACCGTGGTGATGTAGTACCCAAGGACGTCAATGCCGCTATTGCTGCAATTAAGACAAAGAGGACAATTCAGTTTGTAGATTGGTGTCCAACTGGTTTCAAGGTAAATATTTTTTATTTTAAAACATAATTTTGATTTATATAAGAGTTTGGCTTAAGAAAGTTAAATTTCTTTGTTGCTGTAGAGATTTCTTTTCAAAGTAAAACTTAAAACATGAAATTGACAATACATAGTGATTCCTTTAAAAATTAACTAGCAATCTTTTTTATTTAAATGCTAAAATTGAACTTGTATAATTGAATAACTTGGATAGGATAATAAACTAAATTAATTGCCAAAATAAGGTTTACAAGAAGATTTATGCTGGTAGAAGGTAGTGGGGAAACTATTTGAGATTAGCAAATTTAATTCTAGTTATCATAGTAAGAAAGAGGCTCTCCTAAATTTTTTTTAAAAAAATAGTAGAAAAATAACATTTAAAAGTTTGGACAAGAAAATAAAGTTTAAAAAATACAAAATTCTCTTTTTTTTTTTTTTTTTTTTTTTNCAATCGTGTACAAAATGTTTTTTTTTTTTTTTTTGAATAAATAAAATTAGCTGGAAAAAAAAACAAATGATAAAAAGCTCTGCAATATATTTCATACTTAATAGAAATTAAAACTATAAAATACAAGGAAAACTTATTGATCATGTTAAATAAAAACTACCGAACAGAATTACCAAATGGAAACGATAAGTAAAAAGGTGCTGACTCACTTAATTTTTTTTAAAACAACTGAGTCAACTGAATTTTTTTTTAAAGGAGATCTCAAAATTCGTGAATGAAAAGAACTATTTTATGCAGTAAACAATTTATTGTGAACAATGGAAACATGTAAAAGACTCAAAATGTAGTGGAATCAGAAATTTATCACTTAAAAAAGAAAGAGCTTCATAAAATAAGTCTGTTAGCAACAGGGTTTGAAAATACTCGGGTATTTTAGAAAAAAACCCAACTGGTCTGGGTTTTATTAAAAAAACCCGGGGAAAATTGGGTTTTTTCATTTAGAGCTCAAGTGTAGTATTGTCATTAGAGCTCAACTGTGTAAATATTTTTTTTTTAAGAAGTGTATAAGCTTAAAAATAGAAATAAATCCAAAATGTTATTTTAATTTCCTTATATGTATTTTATATCAAGTTTCAGAGATGCCAACTTGCTCCGGACAGCAAATATATATTTTTAAGTGGTAGTTTATCAATTGTGATTCTTGGTTTAATAAATTCAATTTAGTAGATTTTTATCCACCACTATTTCTAAATAATTCGCTGGTTTATATAATTCACCAATTTATACTAATTATGTCTTGCTATACCCTTTAAAAAGCAAGTAAAAAGTGTCAAATATTTGCAAAATTTACTTTAAGTATTTACTGTTTTTTTTAAAATTATTTTGGCATGTCCGGAGCAGTTGGCATCTCTGAAGTTCAAATAACGCATTAATATATATTAATCTTTATTGCTAAGTACATAACCTTTCATGATTTTTAACTCAAGCTCTGTAAATATTTGTAACTAAAATTTCATCTGACTTTTGACATTTTATATAAACTGAAATAAATATTTAATGGTCTTGCATGTTTATAATAAGAATAATAGAAAGTGAAATTAAAATTACGTATAACTATAAAGAGAAGAGTATCAGTTACTTGTCCAATGATATCATTTTTAGATAATTTTAAAAAGTTTTGCCTTATTTTTTTAAAGCCAGAAAATAAAACTGTTTAAATTTGTTAATGTATCACTTAGTAAAAAAAAAAAAAAAAAAATCACATTTTTAAACACATGAATTAATAATAACCTGCTTATTAATATATAAAACATACAACTATATTTGAAAAATTCATATTTTCAGACTATATTATTTAAATTTCTATTTGATTTAATATCATTAAAATATTACTTTTTGAAAAAACCCACTTAAAGTTTTCAATGGTACTGTAAAATTATGTAGATTAGAGTTTCTTTTACTTTACAAATATTAAAAACTTAATCGTGTAAATCTTGCTACTCCATTAGACAAATTTATGCTGCACAATAAATTATATAAAAGTAAATGTGCATCATTAAATTTTGATTTAAAAAAAAAATTGAAAAAACCCACTTATCCTTCCAACTGGGTTTTTTCAAGGTGGACCCACCCAATAAAATCCAGACAGGTTTTTTTCAAAGTGGGCCCACTTGGCAAACCCTGGTTAGCAATAAATAAGTGTGTGTTTAAAAAATTAATAAACAATATTCTCCTTTCATTTTTATACAAAAGCAGGCAAATTTAAACGAGGGTTGGCAAGATTTTACCGCAGTTGGAAAAAACCATCCTGGCTGAGACAGGTTTTTTTCGCCAAGCAAAGTGGCCAAAACCTATATTTTCTAAGATGAGAGGGCAAAAACACATTTTTGATACAAAATTATAATTCCATAATTAAATCTCATAATGTATTAATATAACATTTTAGTAGTTTAAAACATTGATCAGAAAATAAGTGATTATTCTTTTTTTTTCAGTGAAATGAACTTATTTATTTTAAATTAATATAACTATAATTTAAAGCATAAAATATCCATCAATATGTGTAGTTAATTAAAATATATAAATATCAATGCAATTTTTTAAATTTGTGCAAATTCAATGCATCCCAATACACTTTGTGCTGTCTCAACATAGCATAACAGAACACTAGTTTTGAAACATTATTTACAGTCAACAACCAATTCCAAATTTTAGAAAGTACAAATGAATTTGAATACACTCTTTCAATGGCAGCACTACTAGAAGGACATGAGTGTAAAAGAGACATTAATTCACAAAATTTTCTGGAAATTTCACAAGAATTTTGCACACTCCGTCGCCATTTACTAGCGTCAATTGTGGCTATAACTTGTTCTGAGAATGTTTTAGGGAGTGTTTTTTCTTGTAATTAAAAATTCAAGGCATATGGAACAGATGATGCATTAATTCTTGCAAGAAATTTTCTGGCTTCTCTTTCTGTACATTGCTGAGAAAATGCCCTTTATATTTTGGGTGTAAAATATATTTGGGGTTCAATCTTTTAAAACTTATTACCCTTACATTAATTATTAATATTTTAGAAATAATTTTCTCATGTACTGTATTAAAATGATTATTCCTTATGATTGATTTAAATTTGTTTCAAGTATTTTGTAATAATATTTATACAGCAATTTAGATAATTTGGTTTTTGCCACTGTCCTGGCAAACTCTTTTTGCCGTCAAAAACTCCAACCCTGATTTAAACCTAAGCAGATGTGCAAAATTTGAAAATGATACCGCAATTCTGCTATGCAATTGAAAAAACTAAAGTACTTCACGTTTGATTTAGTCTCCTATTTTGCTAATGCTATAGAATCTGAAATGGGATTTCGAAAAACTCCTAAGACATGCATTTTTTTTTCTTTTCCGTTGCAAGCTGTAGCTTACCGTATAAAAGGCCAAATGTATAACAGTCTTAATTTTTAATTATTTGGGACTTACATTGAGTTTTCAATTGCATGGCAGACTTCTAAAGAATCTGAATTTGTTCAATTGAAAAATGTTTTCGTTTATAATTGTGATAATGTATTATCCAAAATTGTAAAACAATTTGTCAATCATGTATAGCTAAAGTAATTATTTTTAAAAAAAAAACTAACAATTCAAAATTCTTGAGGCAGAAGTTGTAAGTTCCTTAACTCGGGCATCTAATTGTCACACTTCAAAAATAATTAAGATTAAAATAACTCTTGTACATGCACCTAATGACTGTTGCTTTGGGGGGGCTGTTTTTTTTTTTTAAATCCCCTATTGAACAATTTGAAAGATTGAAGAATGAAATCGAGCAATTTGATAGAATTCGTGGAGTTCTCTTGACCCAAAGATCTTCAAGGTCACAGAAGAAATACTGAAATTTTCTCTTGACTGAGAAAATCCTTCCCTCCCCCACACACATTTTCTCTAATTAACTTCAAGGGTGAGTCAAATTAGCACTTTTTTCCTCAATTGTTTTAGTTGACAATCGTGGAAAAACCTTTTCCTGATTTTCTAGGTAACTGATATTGGCTCAGTACTGTCTGGGTTTTTAAGAAATACCCCTTTAGAATATTCATTTTCTCATAATTTCCAGTTTAAATTGTAGAAAAAAAAAAGTGCTTTCAAGTTGTAAGTTAATTTTGTTTTATATGAACTAAAAAATTTTCTCTTATTTTGATAATGAGAGAATTTAATATATGAACAGAAAATAGTGTAAAAGGTCAATTTCAAAATTATTAATAAACTTCAGTTATTACACGTTTAAAGTAGGTGCCCTTTTTTATATCTAAAATGAACTCTTAACATTAAGAGTAATTTTTTGTTAACTAGAAATTAGATTAATAAAATTAATGATAGAATAATTTTATTTTAGGTTGGTATCAACTATCAGCCTCCAACAGTGGTTCCAGGTGGTGATTTAGCAAAGGTACAACGTGCAGTCTGTATGTTATCTAATACTACAGCCATTGCTGAAGCCTGGGCCCGACTTGACCATAAATTCGATCTTATGTATGCTAAAAGGGCTTTCGTACATTGGTACGTAGGAGAAGGTATGGAAGAGGGTGAATTTTCTGAGGCTCGAGAAGATTTAGCTGCCTTGGAGAAAGATTATGAAGAAGTTGGAATAGATTCAGCTGAAGGTGGTGAAGATGATGGCGATGAAGAATTTTAAACTTTTATTTTATATGATTCTGTGTTTCAATAAATCTCTCTAAATTATTATGTGTTACTGAAAATTGCTTGGAACCATACCAAAGAAAAAAATATTTTACGAAATCTCTTGTTAAAAGGAACAAGTTAAATTCACTACTGAAGTTTCGTCAATCAACCCTACTATGTTTTTAAAGATTTATTTCTTTTTTGAAAAAAAAAAAAAAACCCATTCGTTATAACGAAGAAGTAATATTTCTTACTTAATGAATAGTTTTTTTAAAAAAATTCAGATGATTTTCTTCCCGAAAACAGCTTTTTAAGAGACATTCCTAAAACTTACACCGTTTTTTAAACATAAGTACGGTGACTCTCGTCAAAGCGAAAAACTTGGGTTTGTTATCTGGAAATAATTGGGATAGAGACTCAAACTCCGATTAGATATAAAATATACAAAAAAATTAATTTTGAATATTTGTTCTGCACGAACACCTTTGAGACTTTTTTTTCTCACCATTAAACGTTTTTAACACTTACAAAATAACGATATATGCTTACCACCAAAACTTAATTTGAGGATAAAAATCAATTTTTCTGCGTTGAAACAGATTTTTAACGTTTTTAGACTTTTTCAACTAATTAAATGCTTTTTATTAACTTTATTTAGAGATTTTCCTGAACTTTGCATCATTTTTGTAGTCTTTCCTGATGTTTAGGTATTTATCGAGGCGGTTGTAGACTCCTACAATATTTTAAGTGCTACTCACCGTACCCAAAATGTTTAGAAACACAGGTGTAGCGTTGCAAGCGTGTTAGTGTTTGCTCTTTACATGGACTTTTTCTGTGGATAGGGAATTTAATAGTATTATATTACATTCTAATATTATTAAATTATACTATTCTAATTAAATAATAGTGTAAATTAATAAGAATAATAGTAAATAAATGGTGAATTAATTCCTTTTTATTTGCAGGATTTAAATGTATGAATAAATAACTATTACTCTACATATAAGAATTTTATCAATTTTTGATTAGTTTAAGTGCTCAAATTTATAACTGATTTTCTGTACAGGATAAAAATGCCCTTTCTGACCACTGTTAGCAGAATTTATCGCCAGGAGACTAAAAATGAGAGTTAATTTATAAAATTTTCACTTATAAAAAACTTTTTTCAGCATTTAAAATGCCACTTTTTTCGTTTTGGTGACAAAAATTAACAATTCTTTTTCAGTTTTTAGTACACTTATCAAAACATGTTTAAAAAAATTTCATTTTCCGATTACACTTACTTTTGAATAGGACTCTCCTTAATGTTACACTTTTTGAGTATTTTGCTTTATCTCGAAAAAAATTTGCACACAATTTTAAAATTCGTTTATCCTAAGATATTGCTATGCAGAAAATTCACGTTATAAGTTCTCGAGATATAGCGAAATACGCAAAAATTAATATTAAGGGGTCAAAGCACTGGAGTTTTCTCCTGACCAAAGTATTGGAACCATAATTCCCAGAAAAAGTACTTTTTTGTGTCTGATTTCGTAACTTAAAATATCGTTGTTACTTACTAATTAGCATATTTTTCACCTACTTGAGCCATTAATAGTGATTCCTAGATGCGATCATTACACAATAAGTTATCCAAGGTGGTTTGCTTTTTATTTTGGCTCGAGAGCCTAACTTAAAATCTAATTAACTTATGTAGACGATATATTTTAACTTGTAAAATCAGATGCGAAAACGCACTTTCTCTCTTTTTCTAAACAAATATGCTTTTTCTTTTCAGATGAATTTGGATTCTTAAACTGCAGATGTTTTTTAAAAATATAGTTCCAATTAATAGTTTCAGCCCCTACATATTTCAATTTTTTTTTTTTTGTATTTCTCTGTTTCCCAAATGAGTAAGGTAAATCCTAAATATTGCAGACAATTTTACAAATTTTTTTTAATTTGATTAAAGAAATTCATTCCATGTAAAATTATTATTTTGTTAGTTTATCATATTTTTTTTAAAATTATTTATTATGTATTTTACTGATGGCCGAAATAGTTGTTAAATATAAAGTATACAAATTTTGCACCAATTAAATCCGCGTAAAGTTTAAATGACAAAATTTGAAAGATATCGGCAGTGAGATGAGGAAATATGCAAGAATAGAAATTATTCTTGCTAAATTAACATTAAGCGATCCGCAATAGTGACCATATTCTCCTACCATAGCAACTGAGATCATATTTTTCAAATTGCGGCTGTTCGGCTCAGGGGATAGAGCGCTCGCCTCCCATTGAAGGGGCTCGTGTTTGAATCCCAGCTATGGCTGGTCGCTACGAATTCTGCACCCGGCTCATACCGACTTCAGTGCTGACGTAAAATATCCTCGGTGGATGGTGGCTTAAGGTCCCCTTGCAGTCAGGCTAACAGTGGAAGGTTTTCCTCTTCATGTAACGCAAATGAGGGTTAGTTCACCAAAAAATTCTGCACGAACAAAAAACTTTCAATACTTGATCCTGGAGTTCCCTTGTCTTCTGGATTGGATTCGGAATTACGAGGCTACAAATTTAAGAATTGGTCGTCGTAAACTAATATTTGTGTTCAACGACGATAACTAAAAAATGCAGCTATCCGCCCCCCCCCCTTATTTAAAAGGTCAAAAATTTAAATCCATTCATAAAAAGTTATTTTAAGAATGTATATGTCTGTTCTGTTTATGTAACAAAATATCATCTGCACAAATTAATTAGCATAGTTAAATTTAGGCGATCGAACCACTACGATTGAGTCAAAGTAAGTGAAAATCCAATCATTAGATCAAAGGCTCTTCAGAGTGTTTGCTTTTTCATTTTGTGCAACCCACTATATTTTTATAGTTTAAGAAAGTCATGAACTACCGATTTCTTTCATCAGGTCGTTAGGGGTTAACTCATAAATGTATCAATAACTTAAGAGTTATTTATTTTTGAGCTCTTTACTTTTTTGCAATCCTTTTTTTTTCCTATTTATGCTGTCTAAAATTTATTTTACGTTAATTTTCATCTCTGCACTATTTATTTTTATCAAAAAAGAACCAGAATCTCTTTTAGGTTAACATGAATGAATTAACTGTTCTGTTCTTTTATTAGAATTCATTGAATATACAAAGAGGGAGTGGGTATCTCGATCCTGATAGGTTGATGAAGCGTAGCATTTGTTTACGTTGGCAACTGTTCTTTTCATTCTATTCCGAGTAATCCAAGCCCGTCAAGTACCCACTCCCTTAAGTGACACATTCTGTATTCCTACACAAAGATTTCAATTATTTCACTATATGTAAAGACAAGCACGAAGACGAAGCTATGTTGAACATCTATACTATACAACTTAACTATGCATCGAAGTTGGTAGGTATACGAAACGAAAATATATCACGGTTACAAAAATATATATACAAATAATAAAGCTAAATTAAGTAAAAGATGTAGTAGTAGAAAGAATTATATTTCAGCAATTTCAGTGTGCTATGTGGAGTTGTATTTAATTAACTTCTCGTTAATTAACATTCTAACTTATGTGGGGAAATTTAGCTCAACTTTAACACGTCATTTTGCTTATAAAAGATCATCTGAAGCTGACGTTATAAGTCACATGTGAGGGTATTTGAGATTTTCTTCTTCCTAAAATGCAAGTACCCAATTCATCCATCTGTATATGTTAAGTTGTTGGCCGACGATATTATGACAGATAAATATGTCTTATTCACAGTAGCAGTGTATAACAAAATGTCGATCTTTTCCCAAAATGACTCCTAAACGAATATCTGTCTGTGTATGTGTGTGTCTTTTATACTCCTAAACCATCCGATCAAAGGGGAGGAAATTCGGCATATAGAGAGTTCGAAGCACGAGGAAGGTTTCTGTCGACAACATTAGAACATTCTACGACAAACCCTTTGAGCTGGATAAGCAAAAAAAGAAACTAAATTTTCTGATTGATTGAGTATTAGCCATTGATTTAAATTTAACTATAGACAATGCAGTTTAAATTTCTTCTACTTTTCAATCAAATCCAAGACTTTAATTAATAAAAATAAAATTAAACTTCAATCAAGTAACGATGCAGAAAGCCTAGATAGTTATATAGAGGAAGTAACAATATTATAGGCATTTGCAAGGCGTCAAAGCTGAAGTTTGGAAAAAAAATTTGAGAAGAACCCAAAGTGGTGGACATTAGATCTCTCGATTTCCAGGAAAAGACTGACAGCCTGACGCAGAAGATTGAAAAAAGAAAATTATACCACACAAAGACAAAATAAATTAATAGAATATAAAAAGGAAAATTCGAAATATAATAAAGAAATAATTAGGCTAAAGAAGAAGACTCTGAATCATTTTCTTGAAGCAATTACAATAATGAAGCAATTACAATAATGAAGCAATAATGTTTCGGAATTGGATATTTAATATCCAGGGGTAAATATCTAAACGACAATCTCTAATGCACAAAAATTACCTGATGGAACCCTAACTACCAATAAATTGCCTCCATTAAGCAATAATCTTCATCAACCATTTACAAGTAACGAAATAGAACATACTGTTTTTAAATTAAGGAACAAAAAAGCCCCATGATATGACGGCCTGTCGCTAGAAATAATTAAAGTATTTTACAAATTGGAATCAAAATTATTTGAGGAAACTCTAAATAAATGTCTTGAATTACAATATTTTCCTAAAATTTGGAAACTAATCTTATTACCGAAACCAGGGAAAGATCCAGCGAAATTAGATAGTTACAAACCAATTTCTTTCCATCCGGTGTAGGGAAAGGTTCTCGATAAATTAATTACGAATAGGCTCACATATTTCCTGGAGAACGATAATTTGTTACATAATGATCAGTATGGTTTCGAAAAAAATAGATCTATCTGCTCGGCCTTAAGGGCACTTATGGACAACATAAAATGGAAAAAATGGCAAGAACGATGGGACAACCCGCTTTCTAAAGGAAGACATACCTATAACCTCACATCAACTGTAGACCATAAAACCATTTACTCCGATTTTTACTTGTGTTTTCACTACAGCGCGAGAACG